TACAAATGTTGTTATCACTGCTTAAGTGGATGAAACTTCTCAGCAGGAGAGGAAATGAGCAGCGACCATCTGCCTAGTAAAGGTTGCCTGTGGCAGGAAAGATGTCAGATCACCTGCCAACATTTGAGTTTCCTTAGAATAAATACATATCATTTCTGGTCCCAATAAAACATACCTATGGATAAAGGTTGCATAACATTTATTTCATATTTCTACTGTTTGGTGCTACCGAGTCAGTTAAAAAAATGCTATAGCATTTAACATAGATGTAAGAAGCAGCAGACAAAACAATGCATGGCCTCTGGTAAACATTTTCAGTGACCTAGCACAGTGGTCCATAAGGCCCATTTGAGACCTATTAAACAGTATAACTTATAAGTTGATGTATGTAAAAAAAGAGCAGGCATAAACCAGTGACTCACATATCAATTGGCAGTTCCCATTACAGTATTATAGCAACTTTCACAGATGTAATTGACATAGATATATTTAGCAGTGAGTGATGGCAGGCGGCCGGCAGTGATAGAAGCCATAATGCAAATAGTAGAAGATGAAAAGGTAAACATATAGCAGCATTCAGATAATGACTTTCTTCATGCACCTTGTTGTTATGTTTGTCTGGGCATAAGCCATCAGGTCGAAATGTAAGGGTGTGACTATATTTACTCAGGTATGCCTGTGTCAGAGTAAACATTATCATCAATTTGCTTCTGCTGTGATTTCTCTTCCACAGCATGAATCACAGCAGTCTTGATGAGTTAAAGCTTGTTGACACAAAGTGCTCCTTCATCTCCTGTGATATGACATCGCTGGCTGGTTACTACAAAAGCCAGAGCTCGACAGCAGACGGTTGACATCTAGTCAGGTAAGATATTTACTGGGGTCTACCTCGCAGCAGCTGGATCCAGCATGTTATTTTTCCAGAACCAACTGTTGCTGGTCTGCACAGCAACATGTGGAAAGCATTACCATTTGTGAAGGGGTTTCTAAAGGGCTCACACATAAGTGCTTGTTTTCTATCTTCGTTTTCACTATGGAAACAAATGATACAACTGATTGTCGTAGTGTGTTAAAAGAGTCAGAGGATCTCAAGTTATCTCTTATTTGACTACTCCGTCTTTGACATTGTAGAGTCAGTGTAAGACAAACATTTGAAAGTTCATTAGGGGAGGAGCTGAGAGGCAGTCTGGTGTGAGTTTCAGTGGAGCCTGATTTGCCTGTGTTACAACAACATGAAAATGAAAACAATGACATTGTACAGTTGTCCGGCCCCTCCCATGTCTCAGGATCTGCCTTAAAGCTACACAGACCTGCTCACTACTTAGGCTAAAACATCTACCATATTAAGGCATCACATAGCTTTTTTGTATATATTGAGAAACAAGACAAATTGAGTGCATCCTGCATTAAAACATTTCCTGGAAGAATAAACAAAGTGTGTTGCCAAACAAATATAGTGTATGCAAAACTAAAGCAACAAATTCAAATAGCCGTCACAGCCGAAAGTATGATTATGAAAAAGGTGCTGGAACAAAAGTATTTTTTCATAACAATATGTTGGTAAAGATAAAGCACAGGTGTAATTAATTAACAGTAATGATTCTCCTGAGCTGTCGTTAATGTTATTAAGTCCAGCTGTTCTCTTTCTGCTATGATGAGTCCAAATGTCTTCAAGTCAAAGTCAAAAAAAGTTCTGAAGACAGTTTTTTTTAAAGGAAATCATAGGTTATTGATTGATTAATTAATTAAAATTGTGAATTAAGAGACTTCCAGTGAGCACTTCCTGAATGTCTGGTTGAGTCTGCAGAGTTTCATTTAATTGTGTGTAAAGTAGGGGTGTAACGGTTCACAAACATTTCGGTTCGGTACGTACCTCGGTTTTTTGGTCACGGTTCGGTTCGGTTCGGTACGTTTTCGGTACAGCAGAATTTTTTTTCACAAAACAAAACATATATATATATTTTTTTATTATTATTAAACTGTGAATAATGTATTCACTCAAATAAATACAAAATATAATAAAATAAACATTAAGGTGCAGCATTTCGATGAACTGAAATAATCTGTATTTGAACTTTACTGTAGGCTACTAGTACTCACAAAACATAAACTATTAGTTTTGGGTTTTTAATTATTATTAAACTGTGAATATTCACTCAAATACAAAATAAAATAAAATGAACATTAAGGTGCAGCATTTCGATAAACTGAAATAATCTGTATTTGAACTGAACTGTACTAGCACCTAAGCAGCCAGTTTGACATTAGGACTTGCTTGTCATTGTATTTTCATGTTTTTTTAAAGAAAAATGAACTTGTCCACATTGCTTGCTGAAAGGGCAGATCTGCTGGCACTAACAATGTCTCCTGCTGTGGAGAACACCCTCTCGCTAGGGACAGAGGTAGTAGCAGATACAGCCAGGTAGCGCTTTGCTAACATGGCAACATAAGGATATTTAGCATTTGTAATAGCTTTGGCTCGGTCTGAACTTTTTGCGAGTGGTGGAGGCTCAAATGCTAGCGGGAGTTGGGTTTGCACTTCAGTCTTTTTTCTTTTGGAATCGGTCATATTCACGTTCGGGTGATGCCTTTTCAAATTAGTGTGCAAGTTTGATGTATTGCCAGCCACCTAACCAATTTTAGTTGAACAATGCCGACAAACAGCTTTGGTTCGGTCCACCTGTCTTTGTCCGTCATCCTTGAACGTAACTGCGAAACCAAAATGTTCCCAAACCGGAGACTTCAATGATGCTGGAGGATTTTCGAGCTCAACTTTATCTGCGTTCGCCATTAATTTTCGACAGTTGCTCAAATTACTGACTACATTTGAACGCATCCCTCTGACCAGCTCTCATAGTATGCCTCTCATCCAATGAAATGACTTGCTCGCTCTATGACGCGTTGAACCCAATGTGAGCAAATTACGCTGAATGCTGCGACGCAGCACCTGAGATTACTTCCAAAAAGTTGTTCACGTTCTCAATTTTTTACGTTTAACGTTATATTCGTTCGGTACACTTCGGTACACACCTGTACCGAATAATTTCGGTACGTGTACCGTTACACCCCTAGTGTAAAGCATTTCATTTTATTACTTTGTATTGTGCTTTTCTACTGTGACTGCCTGGTCAGGTCTATCAATGTGAATATGGATGACAAAAAAAGTAATTGATTAATTATATCACCCCATATTTTAACTCACAAGTGCACTATAACCTGCATTAAAGTGAGATAACCTTGTGTAAATATCTTTCTCACTCATGTGTATAGTTGTGTGGCTTTAAGACACTCCCGAGACAAAGTCCACAGTAATGGCTAGATAGTGTGAGTGCTTTGAAGCTAATAATACAAATCAGCAGAAATCAGTTTTGTTGTGCTGTTAGACTTTTTTTCTTTTACATTTTGAAGGTGCTGTTGACGATGATGGCTGCTCAGGTGGAGGTTCAGACTGGGGAAGTAGGGAGGACGGTGGGTGGAGGACGACTCCACCTGAGTCCCCTTACTGACTCCAGCAATAAGAGTCTCATTGAGATCACTTCCATCAACCAGTCCCATATCATCCCTCCTGAACCTAACAAGCCTGGCCCGAGTCCCAAGCCACGGCTCACTCCTAAACCTTTCGCCCTGGAGAGGAACCCCACCATTAAGCCCATACTTGCTCCTAAGCCCCAAGCCAGGCCCCGACCAGAGTCCACTCGCCTGGCTGGGCACAAATCAGAGCCTCCAAGCAGTGCAAAACCACAGCAACCAGTTGCCCCTAGCAAACCCAGGCCAGTGTCAACCAACCTCAACCGACCCGCCTCTACCTTCTTTAAAACATCTAATAAGTTGAACAGTGGACAAACAACCAAGCCAATAGTCCAGCCATTTAAACCCGCTCCTCCTCTTGACCCTGGAGATCCGAGCAAACCCTTTCCTCCTATAACAGCAGAGAGAGCGAATGTGAGAGAGAGGCGCAAATCCAGTTTGTCAAGCTTGGCCTATTCCAAGAGCCTTAAACAACTTCCAGCTGCAGAGTGGTCTGGAACCACTAAAAATGAAAATGCAAAGGACTGGATGCCATCCAGTGAAGGTGGCTCCTCCATTACCAGAGCCAAGTCCATGGGTTTTCTCATTCAGGTAGGGCAGGAGGAGGAAGAAAAAGAAAAAGCTAAGCCAGAGATAGCAGTGCAAATGCGACCGCAGCCCCGAGGCTCCAGGCCCAGACCTGTGTCGGCCCTTTTCCTTGACAGTCCAACCGAGACGGAGACTCCAGCTCCTGCCCCTCGCTGGGCAAGAAGACCACTCTCAGCCGATCTAACATCCAAGTTTGAGTCTATCGGTCTGTCTCTGCACCGTAAATCTCCCAAAGCAAACACTAAGGAAAACACTCCAGAGGAGAAGCCACTGCCACAGAAGAGAGAGCAGGAGAAACCCCCGAGAGAGCCCCCCCACCACACAGTACTGATGGTGTAGATCAGCCTGCTGTTTTAGACCAAAGCAATAAAAAGACCGAAGAAATGACTGCGAAAGAGACTGATGAGGAGAAGCGTGCAGTTAGCATCAAGTCGAGAATCAGTCTCCTCCTCGATTCGTCCTCCTCGCCTGCGCCAGGTGCCACAGGCAAGAGTCAGATCCTCTCTCTCCGGTGCTGACGTCCCTGAAACTGAACCAGCAGTTGGGGTCAAACGGCTCATCAAGCAGCTGACGGAGGACACAACACCGACTCAGAGCCCCCGCTGTGAAACCACCATCTGATTAGGCCCCGCCCCTTGCCCCTTGACCTCACTCAAAGGTAAGAGCTGCTCCTATTTTCTCTTCAGCATGCTTTTGTCCCATGTCTTTGTCCTTGAGTTCCATTGTCATGCATGGCTTTTTGTCTCGTGTGATGTATGCTCATCAGGTTTTCATCCGAGAAGTCGCCAGACATTGGCAGTGTTTCCCCAAGTGAGGCGACAGAGCACCATGAGATCAGCAGAGATCCTCAGAGGAGGGTAAGAAAAGGGACTAAGCTTCGTAGAAACTCGTTTCTGTCGGGGTCGGTCTGTGTTTAACGGGCAAATGAGAAACAATCTCCCATTTAAGTGCTGCCACATTCTCTCCTGAAAACATGTCATCTCTTTGCCAAAATAAATCCAACAACCAAGGCCAATAGAAAGTAGATTGAACAAGATAGAAGTTTCCATAATAAGCCATATGGTGTGCCATTTACTATCGGCATGGTTTGGTAATACATGGGGAAATGGCTTTTTACGTTTGAATATCAGATCATTCTGGCTGTGTTAACGCATATAACCTAAGTTTTGGCAGTGGTGTTTGTTTTGTTCAACCTCATCTCCTATAACCTGTATTTGATAAACTGTATGGTAAAAATACAGCCACTCACACCCTTAAGCAGAAGAATGTCCCCATTTAAACCGTTAAAACAAAGACTTACAATCATGCATTCATTGAATCTAGAGTTTGGCTTCAAAATTACATTTTATTTACCATTTTAAATGTATTTTGTTCTGAATTTTCCGCTTCAGATATTGCTGCTCTTTGTGTTTTGACGCAAAGCATGGACAATCAATGTTGTTTCTCATTTTTAACATATCCCAGATGGTAAAATAATATTCCCTATAAGATTTGGTGTACAATAAATAATTCAAATGTTGAGTTCTAACACATGCATTTAAAGGGTTAAAAGTTAATTAAAGTTTGTTAAAAGTAGATTGAAGTTGGTTAGAATATTGAAAATGGTTCAAATGTAGAGAAATATATGTAATTGTATGAACATTTATAGACAGAGACTTTCTTAGTAACTTATATAATCGAGACACACAGGTTAATACAAGTGTTTACATTTGCTGTTGACCCCTTGTCTCTCTGTGTTGAGAAGACAAAATCCCAAGAGGGAATGGGACATTGCAAAAAAATAATTGTCTTGATTCAAAGCTGTGTAACCTGAGACAGCCGGCACATGAATCATCCCCCGTGGCTGCCTGTTATGAAACACACAGAGAGAAGATCAGTGGGAAAAGGTCAACACGGAGAGGCTTTCATTACCACCTCTGCACCACACCCACTGTTATGAGGCCAACATAGAACACGGGGGTATCGCTTGGACCCTGACAGTTGTTCTCTTAATAAGTTACTCATTTAAGGACTCGGTTTTCTCCTATAATGTCATGTCATTAATTCGTTTTTAATGATTATTTCTGTCAGGTGTTTCCATATTTGTCTAACAGTGTTTACATTTGAAAGAAGTTTGAAAGGGAAAAGCATGATTCTTAAATGCAAACAAGTGACCAATTTGCTAATATACTTTATTAATTGACATGATATCTCTGACTTTCCTTAGATTGAAGAGTCAGCAATCACCCCCAGTGACCAGAAGACGTTTGTGGACCTAAAGGACTCAGAGGAGCAGCTTAGAAAGCCTGGTGTGCCTGGTCCCGGCGGTGACGTGCAGACAGTCAGAGCATCCTTGTTTGAAAATGTTGTGGAGAGGCACAGTGTGTTCATGGTGGAGGAAGACAAGGCGGATGATTCGCTCAGCAGCCCGTCGTTTCAGAGAGGAAATGCTGAAGATGAAGGAACTCTGGTGAATGCCCCTTACAGGGAGCCGTTATCCCCATCAAGTCCTATGAGGGTGTTGCACGCCTTTGACACAGTGCAGGCAGTGGAAGAGAGCAGGGTGGTGAGTGAGAACATCCCATCAGCTCTTTGGGAGGATAAGGCCATGACGCTTCGCTCCAGGCGCTCAGAGGGGAACAGGCCTGGGCCAGAGAGCACAGCACAAGGGGAACCAGCTGTGGCTGAGATGCAGGAACAACATCCTCGATATCTGAGGATCGGAGCTTTGAATAAATGGAGCGCTACAGGTCTCGAACAAGAGGCGAGTACAGAGATTGGGATGCCAAAGAAATCACATGTGGCTTTGGATCAGGACAGACAGGAAGAGGCAGAACAGGAGGAAGTGGCTGCAGCTCCTAAACGTATGAAAACAGAAGAACAGCCAAAGCCCAGAGCAACCTACTTTGCTCTGACGGGACAATTACAGGAGCCAGCTTCTCCTGTAGACGTACATCTAGGTGACATGACTGTGCCGTTTGATGATTTCTCTGTGCTGTCTTCACCAGGCAGCTCTCAAGTAAAAGTTAATCAGATGAGAAGGAATCCTTCATTAGATGCAGCTATGGTAAACTCTCAAGATCAAGGTGACGACTTGAAGACGAGGAGCCACATGTCGCACAGGGAGATCAGAACAGCGTACGATGGAGAGATGGCGGATGACATTATGGAAGTTGAAAACAAAAGAGAATTAAAAAAGGAGACGGAAAGACACATGGCAAAAATGAAAGCGCTTGAGAGGGAAAGACAGAGACGTCTGGAAATGGAGAAAGAAGCCCATTTAGAATTTGCACGATTGAAGGAGAGAGAAATGCAAAGAGAATTTGAAAGGCAAAGACAGAAAGCCTATGAGAAGGAGATTCGGGACTTTGAGGAGAAACAACGTCAACTGGAAAGGCAACACCAGTTAGAGCTTGAGCAGAAACAAAAGCTGCAAGAAGTGGATAGCGCGAGACTAAGGGAACTGGAACAAGAAAGACAACGGAAACATGAGAAGGAAAAACGGCATGAATTAGAGAGGCAGAGAGAGCTGGACAAGGAGAGACAGCTGCTGGAAATCCAAAGGGAGAAAGAAATAATGGAGGAGCTGGAGAGAATCAAGGAGCAGGAGACACTGCAGCTCTTAGAGTTTGAAAAACTGAAGCAAAGAGAAAGGGAGAGGCAGCTGGTGTTGGAGATGGAGAAGCAGAGACTTAGAGAGAAGATGGATAGAGAAAAGGCAGAGAAACTGAAACAGATGGCTTTAGAACAGGAGATGTTAAGAATGAAGGAGCTTGAGAGAGAAAGGGAACGACAATGGGAGATAGAGAGGGAGTGTCAGAAAGAGATGGAGAGGGAGAAGCAGAGAGAGGTGGAGAGGCAGAGACAAAGAGATTTAGAAAGGGAGAGACAAAGACAACTCGATTTTGAGAGGCAGGAATTAGAAAACCAAAGGCTGAGACAACGGGAAGTGGAGAAGGAAAGGCTGAGGAAGGAGGAGATGGAGAGAAGACAGCTCGTGGAGTTGGAGAAGCAAAAGCAGGCAGAGGGGGTTAGACAACAGATTATAGAGATGGAGAAACGCAGACTGAGGGAGAGGATGGAGGGGATGGAGAGGGACGAGGCAGAGAAAATGAGACAGACAGCCAAACAGCAAGAAGCAGAGAGGCAGCGACTGAAAGAGAGACAGAAGAAAGAGGAACAGGAGAGGGGGAGGTTGGAGTCTTCACATCTCAGACCTAAAGTATTGGATCTGGACTCTGTGCGGAGGAATGGCTCCTTTTCTAAGGCATCTCCACAGCGCAGTGACCTCGCAACGCGATGGAAGGAGCCATCCCCGAGAGCAGAAGAGTCTTACAGATCTGCCATCCTTGACATAGACTCTTTCACGTCCCCAGCTCTAGTTTCCCCCAGTAAAGACTTGTTTCCTGTTTCTGGTATTCAGGGTGTAGACGCTGCATTTGGAGCTAGGTCGCAGCCCACACCTGATGTAGATGTTAGCTGGAGGGGGCCACCACAGACTTCAGGAGGTATAACGAGTCCAATATGGATGACGTCTCCTCAGGACCCATGGGAGCTGCGGCCTGTTGAGACGTCTGTGGACAAACCTGAACCCAGAAAACACATCGGCAAAATGAGTCCAGAGCAGCTCCTCCTCAGGCAGGAGGAGCGGCTCCTGGCCCCACAGAGGATCAGGTCTGCGGGGCAGGAGGAGCTGCTTCACCTAGCCTCTCTCTCCCGGACAGCGTCCAGGAGTGGAAGCTCTCCAGGCGGGGGCCCTCCAGGTGTGTGCCCTCCAGGCGGGGGCCCCAGCAGCGCTCCTGCAGAGCAGATCTGGCTGCCCAGACAGCCCCAGCCTCCAAGCGGCCAGGTGGACGTCTGCGTCCACAGGAGATCACAAGGATCGCAGGTGAGATAGCAATGAAATACTATCAGAGGCAAGGATTACTCATTTCTTATGGAAAATAGTTTACATTTTGATATAACGGAAGTTAAACTATTTTGAGGGATATTGTTTTTTGCCCACTGTTTAAAAAACCTGGCACTAAATCTAAAGTACAAGTTACTTAGCATTTATTTTTTAGTGTGTTAAATCAGCAGCAGCCTTTTAAAGTAGGGTAAGCCTATACATATATATATATATATATATAAATAAAGGGAGACCTGTGCGTCACTTGAAGCAGAACAGAATTCTTTTATCCACCCATATTTGCTCTCTCATTGATGTTTCCTGAGCGAAAGGAAGGATCGGCTTTTCAACACTCTCATTGATGATATCACTATCGGGCATCCCTATAACACAAATAGCCACCAATGCTAATCAGATGGAACATCTAAAGGAAACCGTGGTCTTTCCCTGCAGGTTTATTAGGATTATGTTGAAATGCCTGATTCAATACAGTGATCACTTATAGGATTCAAGGCTTTTATTGTCATATGTACATAGCTACAGTGTAGGGCTGCACGATATTGGAAAAAACTGACATTGCGATTTCCCCCCCCCCCCCCTGCGATATATATTGCGATATGAAAACATACAGGAATTGAAGAAAAGACCGTTTTTCCCCCCCCCCAAACCATCCTTTCCTGAAATGTAATGCTATACAATTGTATTTTTTTTAACTATATTTAACCGGATGAAGGATTTTAGTCACGGACGTCTGGATCTTAAGTTATCAGAGCAACAAGCTGAGCTAGCTCGGTTAGCAGCACTGAACTGCCCTGGAGAACACATGAAACTACTTTATTCAGTGTTTTTACCTTTAATCACCGGGTCCGTTTGCTTTGGAGATTTGATTGTGATTGGTGGTTTGCTGTGCATGCAGAGCCTGCATGTCACTCACTCAAGTACCTCTGACATGAGAACCGCGCAAGTTTTCCTTTTGTAGCAGGCAGCAAAATAATTGTAACATGACGTGTTTGAGTTAATTTGCCTACTTAATATCGCAAGTCCTAAAAAAAAAAACAAGTTTACATTTTATTTTTTTTATCGCACGGCCACGCGATGTGAATACTAATATGCATGCGCATATCGAGATTATCGTCACGACACGATATATCGTGCAGCCCTACTACAGTGTAGTTATGACAATTGAATGCTTAGGTCACAGGCTCCTCCAACAGTGCAACACAATACAACAGATAATAGTGATGTTTATTGAGTGTGTAGCCTACATTTGTGCACTAAATCTACTTTTAAGAAGTCATTAATAGAAAAGGAAATTGTTTCTACCCACTTGTGAAGTGACCATGGTTCCCAACAAAGCCACCTGCCTCAATACACTGCAGCACCCAGCATGGTTATGAATAGCCTTCAGGAAACATGTGTACAGTGTATGGAGATATGAAGTTGACTGCGGTTCCTGTTTATGTGCTAGGAGTTGAACAGGATGCGGTCTCGCAGTGTTTCTCGGCGATCAGCTCCTTCAATCAGCGCTGTGGAGGGAAGTCTTTCCAGGATGAGGAGTCGCAGCGCACACCGAGAGCTGGAGGACAAAGACTGGGTGAGTCCTGCGCCTCAAACAGCTCAACTCGCTGAGAGGAGAGACCGCTGTCTGAGTCTCTGCTTCAGAGTGATGGTTGGATGTGAGCTCTTAATTATAATCACTGTTTTCACACGGCTCTGTGGAGACAGCGAGGGAAGTGTGTGTGTACTTGAGTTTGTACTGGATAATTGTCTTAAGTGTCAGTAGGTTGCTTTAGAAGTGTACTTTTAATTTGGTTAGTTCTCCAAATGAACAATACTTTGGCGACAAGTCAATGCCAACATTTTGAAAAATATGGCGGTAATCGTTATTTCCTATAGAATTTCGGGTACCATAGTGAGCCTTAACAGCGTTTGGGATTGAGAGTAACTGTTTCCCATAGTGCCATGGACGATATAGAAAACGTGTTGACTCCCAGTTAATGCTCTGTAAATACCTTATTCTTATAAGCTAGAGAGTTAGTTTAACAGTAGACCTTACAGCCGGTGGAGCAAGGTTTCTATAGAGCTGCAGGATGGCTCTACTCTGTAAAAAGAAAATTGGGTGAAGGTAAATAATAACGTTATCAGGATGTGTTCAAGTATAGTCTTGTTAAATTCAGCGTTTCCAGGAACTTAAATAAATACTGTTTTCAAATCAAAATAAAAGAGATATCAGGGAGGGAAATAAATAATCTGTTTAACTTCCTAACAAAAGATAGTGTAAACGGTTAGAAAGGAGTATATGCTGTATTTTGAGGAATGTCCTTAAAAGTCCTAAACTTGAACTTTTATTAAAATGTAATTATTTTAACTTGAATTCAAACAGAGCAACAGTATTCATGTTGTATTCTATTTTATCTTTTTACACAAAATAATATGTTTTGGTTGTAAAACCTTTGTAAAATTGATAGGATGAGATAAACTTGTTTTTTTCAAAATCTTTTGATTTGTTTTTTTGCAGACATGTTTTGTACACATTGAATGTAGTACAAAACAATTTGTCTGTTTAAGGAAGGAAAGAAAGATGAGATAATATTGTAATGGTCCTGTAAAGGGGACATTTTAGTGTTACAGCAGCAAAGGGACAGTGCAAACATGAAGTACTAAAGTAAAATAAATAAGTTTAATGGTAAAAAAATTAACTGAATTTTGATTTTAAATCATTGCACATTATCACCAACATCATTATTAGTAACTGATTAAAACATTCTATTAAATATTTGTCATGCTACTTGTTATTTTCCAGAACCATTGTATTGAAGGTAGGGGAAGGTGGACGAATGCAGGTAGATGCGTGACAGCCGAGTGCTGCTGTGCCTACATAGTTTAGAGTTGTGACTAATGTTGATGGCAGCACACCTCCACCCATCCCAGGCCTGTAATTCAGGATTGGATTAGCCAAATGGTTAATGAGTACCTGTCCTCAGTGCTCGCTTATCAGAGGCTTGTCATCAGGCTCAGGGAAAGCTGTGAAGTGAAATGGCTTGTAATGATCAAGGGCCACGCAGATAAGCAGACATGTCACATATGTGTCACAGTAACAGTAGTCCTTTGAGCTGATTTCCTCATATCCGTTTTTTCTAACTTTTGACTTTGTAGTTTACATCTGTTTCTTATATTTTTAAATCATGGAAAATGTGTCTTCATATTTGCACCAACACCTTTACATACACCAATATATCATCTGTTCAATCATGAATAGAGTCTATAAATATCTAGGGTTGGGCTCGGCTGGCTCTTTGTCAATGAGACTACAATTGTAGGCCCAGGAGGAGGGCATACAATATGAAACCAGAAGTATAGTTTATTGTGTCTCATAATTGCACACTGCGTGACAAAGACCTCAGATTCAGTCACTGTGAGTTTAAGGTCACTACCACCATCTAGTGGCTGTTTTTCAGCTTCACCTGGTGTCAGTGCGAGTTGTTCCTCATTCCTGTCTGCTGTTCTTGTGTTCTTTGTTTATCTGCTATGCTTTGAAAGGAGGCAAAACAATATGTACTGTCCATATTCACAGACTTTGGTGGTAGAATGGTTATGGCACACGTTAGTTTCTAACCATGGGACTCAGTTCCTGTTTCCAGTCTGCCACTATACACTTCATCCATCAAGTAAAGACAAAGAATGCTAAAACAAATAATCTGTAGGACACTGATTTTTTTCGGTGTAAATGAAAAAATATATTTCACACATTTGAACTACCGATGACAGCTGTGGCGTCGATGCATTGTGTTTTAGGGTTGTCTGTCTGTGTGTTATCGTGAACACGGTATCCTGGATTGCCTTGAGGGGATTTCTTCAAATTTGGGACCAGAGTCCATTTTCGACTAAAATATGCACTGATTATCATTAATCATTATTATTATCAATCATTATTTACCCAAACCAAAGGTGCAGTCCAAAACCCAAACCTATTCAGTTTTTATTTACAAAAGAAAATGAAAAGCTACAAACAAGCGATAAAGGTAGAACCAAAAAACTTGACTTAAACCATTAACCCTCTGAAAATGAGAATTGAAGATTCATTTCATGTTGATCGACTAGCTATAGTCATTGTTTCATCTTAGTGACAATACTTCTAGGATAGTAGCAGGTAATTCAAATGTTTTTCTTTTGTTTCTGCTGAATCGTAAAATAATAAACGTCTTTATTTGGCTTCGGTTTTAATTTAGAAATCTATCTGCGATAGATATACAATATTGTAAATTCCCCTACGTTGAGTTCACTGGTGATCTCACACGGATGAGGTCATATTTATGAGGTGACCTCATAGTTTTAGTGTGAGGTTTCTGAGGCTGTGGAGAGGGGCAGAGCAGCGATGGGCACCGGGCTGAGAGCTGTGCTGTACGTGTGGTCCTGCTGCCTGCCTCCACACGGCTTCTGGGTGAGTGACTTCTCTCATTTCAGATGTTTCTCTGTAAGATTATATTATATAATATAGGAAGATATCATATGGACTATTTGCTGCATCCAATTTCAGCTTCTTTGTGTTTTTGCCGGTTGGGTTTCTGCGCACAGATTGGTGATGTCAGCCGAAAGGGGGAAGTGATGAGCAGCCGTGACTCACTTCCCAGTCAGTGACGCTCAGTATTAGGAGGAGGAATAGTATAGAAATAGGAGCAGTAGTAAGATAGGTCTGCAAATAACTTGTCTTTGTCACTGTAATGCTACAAAAGTAAAAAAACAAGCCTGATTCTGTAAAAATACAGTAATTATCAAATGCTAAAATTAGAGATATACTAAATTTTGCTATCTTTAATTATAATGCTTTATTTATGCACGGGTTAGTAGGATAATATTGTTCATAAAAATGTTGCCAGAAATCATCATGACGTGATATTTCGATGTGGCCTTGGTATGTTCTAACATTTGGATGATTAAAAAAACGATAGAATTTGAGCAAAATGCTTCAAGTAGTGATTGTTTTCATTATCGATTAAAAGTTTTATATTAAAGCATTTTATATTTTGTACCACCTGCTACAATAAAGTAATATGGCTGCACCCGATACTTCCTGAACTTTATTAGGAGTATTTTAGCTTTTTTCAGGCTGTGTCACTTTGTCTTTTGTAGTACCCAGAAAGAAGAAGCCATTTTCCGACAGAGCAGTACACGAGAGAGGTCAGTTTGTGAGCCGCTGGAAACTGAGAACCTCGCAGCAGATTGCCTTTAGCACAGCACTTCAAAGCAAAGTTAATCAGATTACCTGTAGGGGGCATGCGTTGACAGGGATTCAGCTCTGTGGAGCTCCTCACGAGTCCCAGCCTTCTTTGAGTGTAACTCTCTGAAGTGCGTCTGACTCTGGAGTCGCCTGCTGTGGCTTTATTCAGGCTAGGGAGGGTTTTCTAGTCTGTTGTGCTATTGCATGCGTCTGACTGTAACAAACACTTGACTGTTGTGATTCTTGCTTATGCCTACACTGTGTGGACAAACTGGTCGATGAGCCTGCGACACTGGTAGAGCCACACCTGTCTTTTCACTCTTCCCTCTTGCATCTCCAATCTTTCTATTTATAGATGACTCTTTAACTTGATCATGCACTTGTGCTCATTCCTATCTGACTGTGTCATCCCCATTTTCTCCCTGGCTTTCTCTTTCTGTTTTGAAAGGAGTTGTAATAACATTGCAATTGCATTTTGCACACATGCAATATGTGTTTTCTGTCTCATCCCTCTGCATTTGTTTCCACTGCCTCTCTGTTTCCTGACTGGGAACTTCCCTGCGTTGCCCTGCAACTGAAATCAGGCTGGAGCAATAGAGCACCGCAGAACATATATCACCCTCCCCTCTCCCTCCCGCTCTGAATCAGGGACCTCCCATTCTCCCTCCCAGACTCTGTTCCACACTCTCTCTCTTCACTCAGTTTCTCCTTGACGTTGAGTCCTATAGCGCTGGTTACAGAGAGCAGCACTGCTGACGCATTTTCTCCTACCTGCCCATACCTGCAGAAAAAGGCGAGGAGAGAAACATTTTCTCTGTCCTTCTCTTTTCTCCTCTGGATTTGACTTCCCCCCCCCCCCCCCCCACAGTGCTCTCTGCTGTTTCCTCTTTTTGGCACTGCGTTGGTTGCCCTCTGGTTTTTCTTATGGAATACGAATGACTACAGCAGCTTTCCCTTTGCCACCGGCTGTCCTGCACCATTTCTTCCCAAAGCTTTTTGCCAGAGGATAGCACAGTATCGGACACCTTGAAAATGTAACCTTGTTGGATGGATGGCTTTTTCAACTTTTAACCCTTGCCTTGTTTTTGAGGAAGTGCATTATCGTTGGCTCTGGGACAGCTGTCAGGTCAGCTGTAATTGAAACTGGGATCAGGACAGAGAAGCTCACACCTGGGAAATCTCATACTCAGTATTGCTGGCACAGTGGACTTGCATGACAGAAATAGATAACTGAATTGTAATGCCAAACTAAAATGTTTAGTTGAGGATGTGTTTCTTTGATTATAACTATTTGACTTAGTACTTGGAATACCTGAAGCCAGGAAAACATGGATGTGAAACCTGTTGGTAGATAGCGCAGCATTTGTCTCTCATAG